ACGTATGCACGCACGCACGCCCATACATACATATATATGTACATACATGTGTACGTACGTATGCACGCACGCACGCCCATACATACATATATATGTACATACATGTGTACGTACGTATGCACGCACGCATGCCCATACATACATATATATGTACATACATGTGTACGTACGTATGCACGCACGCATGCCCATACATACATATATATATGTACATACATGTGTACGTACGTATGCACGCACGCATGCCCATACATATATATATATATGTACATACATGTGTACGTACGTATGCACGCACGCATGCCCATACATACATATATGCATATACACGTACGTATATAACGCACACGTGCATTCACGCACACGCACACGTGCACAACATATCAGCATGTAATGCACAGGTAGTCGCTACACTTTATGAATGATTGCAGGTAACCATTACCTGTATGGATCAGCAGGTGGCAGCACCGCAGTATTAGCGTGTGCTTGTGCGTGCGTGTGTGCCTGTGTGCAAGCGCATGCGTGCGTGTATGTGTGCCTGTGTGCAAGCGCATGCGCGCGTGTATGTGTGCCTGTGTGCAAGCGCATGCGTGCGTNCTACCCTGCTATCTTACCGTAGCCGATGAGGCAATAGTATTTGCTGCGCGATCTCTCCGCCTCAAACACCTCCACCAGCATGATGTAGAGCTGCAGACCTTCCAGGAACATCCACGCAAACGCGCCCAGGAAGAAGTAATGCATTACACCAGCGATTATCGCACACGCCACCTGGTGAGAGAGAGAGATCATATATACTGTAGAATGCATCGGCACAAAAATCTCGAGAAAGGAACGACTTTTTTCGACAATGTGTTTCGTATGAAAAGATGGGTGAAAAGATGAATTAAAGATTTAACTATTAGACGTTAACTAAAATTAAAATTAAAATTAAAATTAATTAAAGTTTAACTAATTTAAGTTTAACTAATAGTTAATTAACTAATTAACTATTAACTAATAGATGAATTAAAGATTTAACTATTAGATGTGATGTTTTGCTGACCTTGTTCTCTGTTTGGCTGATGCCGATGACAAACACTAGTTCAGCAAGGAGGAGACACAAGCTGAGATTCTGATGTATCGTGTTGCGATCATTCTGTAGTCCTCTGCAAACGTGCAAACCACCAGTGTGTTCACATACAGACACATCGGTGTAGCAGTAAATGTTACAGAGAGTACATCATAGCAAGCATTCTCAATACAATAACATTTTCGACAAGAGTCACTTGTGTCTACAAAGATGGATTCAGGAATAAAAGAAACTGGGATACCTCTGTACACCAGTGAATGTGAGAAAGGTCAATCGAAGGTCAGAGGTGATGAGGAGAGCTGAGAGGACGTTGTTACCTGCAGAAGGTGAAGGTTAGAAAGCAGACGAGCAGACAGCCGATGGAGACGATGCAGCCGATGTAGGTGATGATGTCCAATGCCAACACGTTAGCAGCCGAGATCTGTAACAGTTGCCATGGTTACAGTGTGCCAGCACATGAGCCTTTATTATCTTAAACTAATACTGCAGTTACATTCGTCAACAGCCTCAGTTGATGTAAAATTAAATATTTAGATATTGACAAGTTGAAATATAAATATTTATTCAAAAAAGTAGAACATAACTCCAGTGTCTGTGAGTATAGGCGTTGACAAGGACATGACATTAGATGGATTGTTAGTAACAATGGTAGTTACCTCTATTCCTGTTATATCCATGAGTACAGCAAAGTTGGTGAGATGGTTGCAGCTACAAACAGTGTGTGTGGCATTACTGGATGCAACCACACAACCAAAGTCTGACCACTGACCCAAGTATGTGCTGTAAGACAAGCAAACCTACAAGTAAAATCTGACCACTGTATGCAGCACAATTGCTCGCTTTCTCTCTCT